AAGGGGGGGGGGGATATGATCTCCATGTATAATACATAAGGGGGACATGATCACCATGTATAATACATGAGGGGGGGGATATGATCTCCATGTATAATACATAAGGGGGATATGATCACCATGTATAATACATGAGGGGGGGGGGGGGGATATGATCTCCATGTATAATACATAAGGGGGGATATGATCACCATGTATAATACATAAGGGGGGGGATATGATCTCCATGTATAATACATAAGGGGGATATGATCACCATGTATAATACATGAGGGGGGATAGGATCTCCATGTATAATACATAAGGAGGGATAGGATCTCCATGTATAATACATAAGGGGGGATATGATCACCATGTATAATACATAAGGGGGTATATGATCGCCATGTATAATACATAAGGGGGGATATGATCTCCATGTATAATACATAAGGGGGGATATGATCTCCATGTATAATACATAAGGGGGATATGATCTCCATGTATAATACATAAGGGGGGTATGAGCGCCATGCATAATACATAAGGGGGATATGATCACCATGCATAATACATAAGGGGGGGATATGATCACCATGTATAATACATAAGGGGGATATGATCTTCATGTATAATACATAAGAGGGGATATGATCTCCATGTATAATACATAAGGGGGATATGATCTCCATGTATAATACATAAGGGGGGATATGATCAACATGTATAATACATAAGGGGGGATATGATCACCATGTATAATACATAAGGGGGGATATGATCTCCATGTATAATACATAAGGGGGGGGGGATATGATCACCATGTATAATACATAAGGGGGGATATGATCACCATGTATAATACATAAGGGGGATATGATCTCCATGTATAATACATAAGGGGGGGATATGATCACCATGTATAATACATAAGGGGGGATATGATCACCATGTATAATATATAAGGGGGATATGATCACCATGTATAATACATAAGGGGGGATATGATCTCCATGTATAATACATAAGGGGGGATATGATCACCATGTATAATACATAAGGGGGGGATATGATCTCCATGTATAATACATAGGGGGATATGATCACCATGTATAATACATAAGGGGGGATATGATCACCATGTATAATACATAAGGGGGGATATGATCTCCATGTATAATATATAAGGGGGATATGATCTCCATGTATAATACATAAGGGGGATATGATCACCATGTATAATACATAAGGGGGGATATGATCTCCATGTATAATACATAAGGGGGGATATGATCACCATGTATAATACATAAGGGGGGGATATGATCTCCATGTATAATACATAGGGGGATATGATCACCATGTATAATACATAAGGGGGGATATGATCACCATGTATAATACATAAGGGGGGATATGATCTCCATGTATAATATATAAGGGGGATATGATCTCCATGTATAATACATAAGGGGGGATATGATCACCATGTATAATACATAAGGGGGGATATGATCTCCATGTATAATACATAAGGGGGGATATGATCACCATGTATAATACATAAGGGGGGATATGATCACCATGTATAATACATAAGGGGGGATATGATTTCCATGTACAATACATAAGGGGGGATATGATCTCCATGTATAATACATGAGGGGGGATATGATCTCCATGTATAATACATAAGGGGGATATGATCTCCATGTATAATACATAAGAGGGGATATGATCACCATGTATAATACATAAGGGGGGATATGATCTCCATGTATAATACATAAGGGGGGATATGATCTCCATGTATAATACATAAGGGGGGATATGATCTCCATGTATAATACATAAGGGGGATATGATCTCCATGTATAATACATAAGGGGGGATATGATTTCCATGTACAATACATAAGGGGGGATATGATCTCCATGTATAATACATGAGGGGGGATATGATCTCCATGTATAATACATAAGGGGGATATGATCTCCATGTATAATACATAAGAGGGGATATGATCACCATGTATAATACATAAGGGGGATATGATCTCCATGTATAATACATAAGGGGGGATATGATCTCCATGTATAATACATAAGGGGGGATATGATCTCCATGTATAATACATAAGGGGGATATGATCTCCATGTATAATACATAAGGGGGGATATGATCTCCATGTATAATACATGAGGGGGGATATGATCTCCATGTATAATACATAAGGGGGATATGATCTCCATGTATAATACATAAGAGGGGATATGATCACCATGTATAATACATAAGGGGGGATATGATCTCCATGTATAATACATAAGGGGGGATATGATCTCCATGTATAATACATAAGGGGGGATATGATCTCCATGTATAATACATAAGGGGGGATATGATCTCCATGTATAATACATAAGGGGGATATGATCTCCATGTATAATACATAAGGGGGGATATGATCTCCATGTATAATACATAAGGGGGATATGATCTCCATGTATAATACATAAGGGGGGATATGATCTCCATGTATGATACATAAGGGGGGGGATATGATCTCCATGTATAATACATAAGGGGGATATGATCTCCATGTATAATACATAAGGGGGGATATGATCTCCATGTATAATACATAAGGGGGATGTGTAACTATATAACACCCATGCAATGACCTTTTTGGTGTGAAAGCGATGTGATTTGAGCCATACAAAATGTATGGCTTAAATTGCACCACACAGACAGTGCATTTAATTTGCACAGGAATGCGGTGTGATTCCTTTGCGAATTACATGCCGTGTCCTGCAACGCATTAGTGTGAACCCGGTGTAAGTGTACATGCAGGCTCATTCTTCAAACACATAATGAAAAGAAAAAAACAACATAAACGCACTCACTGTTAGTAGTGACGACTCCTCCGTCATACCTCCTAATGTGTATTAGATCCACAAACTCTCTGGATGAAATAAGCCCCATCCCATAACTGTGTGTGACGGAGCGACTGATCACAGTGTCCTAAATTAAGAAAACTTTATTAGCACAACAATACAGAAAAACGCCATTCACAGCGAAGATCAAACCAACTTGACTAATACTAGCCTAACAAAATTAAAGGGCAGCTCCAACCCAAACACAAGGGAAGGGGCTGAAGTTTTACAGAACCATAGGCCAGAACAGCCATTTCTGAACCTTGTCTCAGTTTCCGCACCTTTTAACCCTTTCACTGTCAGCCTTTTTTTTTTTATTTGCGTACATGCTTTAACCTCCCTGGCGGAATGATTATTTCAGATTTTTGGTGCTGAAAGCGTTACCATTATTTGCATGGAAATATGTAGTTTTTTTATTTTAGGCTGTAATATTTAGGAATAACTCACTGAAATCTGTCCGAACAAGAGTCTATTAAACATCCCGGGGATGATAAAATTTGAAACACAAAATCATAAATTATAATTTAATAAATAATCATAAAAAATAATAATAATACATTTAATTCAATAATATAATCAAACCAAAAACACTGAAATTTGAAATATAGCGCCAAGTTCGCACATCGCTGAGCAAAGTCGCAAATTCGTTTTCAGTGTCTGATGACGAATTTCCCCACGAATCATTATCACTCAGTTCTGCAAGTGGTTCTAATTTACTATCGCTGTTCTCTAGCCGGTCTAAAACCACTTTTGACCTAAAGGGACGCTTTTTGGACGCCATGGACTTTTCTAAGTTTCCAGGTAGAAAGAACAATCAAAATGCAGACAGGGCACAGGACAAAGCACTCGGGACAAAATGTATGTGAAATGGTTTGAAACAGCAATGTTTTACTATGCAAAATTCGTTTTGAAAAACATTTGAAAAAATTTCCCGCCGCCAGCGGCGCCCGTATGTCCCGACGTCACAGGGACCGGAACACGGAAGCCGGATGCCGGCATCAGCCGGAGGAGATGGCCGGGGACGCTGCAGGGGACACATCGCAGGAGCGAAGGACAAGGTAAGTGCTGGAGGGACTCCCTATGCAGCGCCGCATGGTAAGCCCGAGTGTAGCTCGGGGGTACCGCTTTTGGTACAGAAACTTTACCCCGAGCTACACTCGGGAATACCGCCAGGGAGGTTAAAAACATAATTTTAGGCTTGAGGATTGGTTAATCTCCCCCCCCAAAAAATGATATGTTTTCAGAAAGTAGAGAGCCTTGAGAATAAAACGGTGGTCGTTCCAATTTATGTCACACGATAATTGCACAATTTTAGTAAAATATTAATTCATTTAATTTTTAGAGAACACAAACGCAATATGTTACCCAATTTTTAGTAAAATGGAAAAGATGAGGTTGTGCCGAGAAAACAGATACTCAGCATGTCAAATGTTAAGATGTGCTTGTGTCTGCGAAATGACGCCAAACGTCGGTACTAGTGGTGCACCGAAATGAAAATTCTGGACCGAAACTTGGCCGAAAAATGAAACCAAAATGGACAGTTTTTTTTTAAAAATATATATTTTTTTTATATATAATTGAATTATGTTCGACTTTTGTAATTATTATCATGAATTTAAATGAATATGAGTTTAAAAAATACAATCCGGTAACCTAAAATAACTTTTATTGAAAGTAATACATAAACAAATGGGCAGAAAATAAAATGAAATATATATAAAATTAAAAAACTTAAAGCGGAGTTCCACTCACACTGTAAAAAAATAAAAGTGTGTAGCTAAAAAACTGTAGCTGCTGACTTGTAAAAAAACAGCCAGTCACCTGTCCCACGATCCAGCGGTGTCCTCACCGCAGCCCGTTTCACTGGCCATCCTGTGTTCCCGGCGCCGGCATCTTCAGTGTGGGCATTCGGCTGTGACAGCTTGCAGCTTCACATCCGGGTGCCCACTGTGCATGCGCGAGAAGTACTGCGCTTCCTGAATGGCCCCGTCGTCTTCTGGGACCTGTCACATGTCCAAGAAGACTACAGGGAGGGAGGGGGGAGGACAACTTCCGTTTCAATTGCCTAGGCGATCACAGCGGAAGTGGGAGCGGGTACCTGTCAATTTCGGGTACCCGCTCCCCTAAGGTGCCAATCCTTTTGGAGAGCGGGGGACCAGTCTTTAAAGCGGAACTTCCCCTTTTGGGTGGAACTCCACTTTAAATATAAGTATTTTTGCCTTGAAGTCAATGGGATGCAATTTTGCATTGAAGTCAATGAGACGCCGTCCTGCATTGAAGTCAATAGGGGCGTTTTTACATTGAAGTAAATGGGACGCACTTTTGCACTGAAGTCAATGAGACGTGATTTTGTGTTGAAGACAATGGGCTGCAATTTTGCATTGGAGTCAATAGGATGTCATTTTGCAATTAAGTAAATGGGAATGCGATTTTGCGTTGAAGTCAATGGGACGCAATTTTGCATTGAAGACAATAGTGGACATTTTTGCATTGAAGTCAATGGGATGCGATTTTGCATTGAAGTCAATTATTGTTATCGGCAAAACGCAGATAATCCTATGTTCAGCTCCCAATATATCGATCCATCACTATTCAGTACCCTATATTTTCTATAGGTGATGCTTTAAAAACCCCTCATCAGTTTAGTTAACCATGAGCATTGGCCCTAGAATTACTGATCTCCCTCCAGTGTACACGGCGGTATATAAAGTGTATCGCAAGTGATGTTTTCATAGTAAGTAGGCACCCCTAACAGTGCATTTACGTTATGCTTGTGTATACATTGGACGGGCTCAAAGTTTGTTCCACCTCTTTCCCCATCCTCTCCCACTTTTGGAAACTTTTTTTTGGGGCGGGGGAATGAGCGGGTAACTGGTTCACCCCATCCCCCTTTTCCTGCAGCCTTCTGGGACACATCACAGGACCCAAAGACTGTCGGGCCATTCACAATGTGCAGCGCAGCACATGCATGTGTACTGGGAAGCTGGCTGTGAAACCACAAGGCTTCACAGTGGGCAGTGCAGAGACAAGGTCATCTAGAGCCCAGGGAAAACATGCCAAATTGTGCCCCCTCCATCCCCCCCCCCCAAGATGTATACGCATTATAGTATGTAAGCAAAATCCCCTCCCCCCAAAAAATCGAGCGCTAAACTGCATGCTTACCTACTAAGCATAAATTCCCCCCTCCCCCAGCACAAATCTTATCCCCACATCTCAAGTCCTCTCTCCCCCCATATGCCCCCATCACAAATCTCACCCCCCCAAAAAAAAAATCCCTCTCCTAGCACAAATCCTCTGACCCTCAAATTTCCCCGCCAAGCACAAATCCTCTCCCTTCCCCCCAACCCAAATACCCCTTTCCAGCAATTCCCCATCCTAGCAAAAAAAATTCCTCCCCCTGAAAAAAAAAAAATTGCCTCCTAGCACAAATACTCTGCCCCTCAAATTCCCCCGCCAAGCACAAATCCTCTCTCCCCTCCCCCCACCCCAAATACTCCCTCCCAGTAATTTCCCATCCTAGCAAAAAATCCCCCCCTGAAAAAAAAAAATTCCCTCCTAGCACAAATACTCTGCCCCTCAAATTTCCCCGCTAAGCACAAATCCTCTCCCCTCCCCCTAACCCAAATACCCCCTCCCAGCAATTCCCCATCTAGCAAAAAAATCCCCCCCTGAAAAAAAAAATCCCTCTCCTAGCACAAATCCTCTGACCCTCAAATTTCCCCGCCAAACACAAATCCTCTCCCCTCCCCCCACCCCAAATACCATCCCTCAGCAATTACCCATCATAGCAAAAAAAAATCCCCCCCCCCCCGAAAAAAAAATACATCTTCTAGCACAAATCCACTGACCCTCAAATTTCCCCACCAAGCACAAATCCTTTCCCTTCCCTCCACCCCAAATACCCCCTCCCAGCAATTCCCCATCCTAGCAAAAAAAATCCCTCTCCTAGCACAAATCCTCTGACCCTAAAATTTCCCCGCCAAGCACAAATTCTCTCCCCTACCCCCACCCCAAATACCCCCTCCCAGCAATTACCCATCATAGCAAAAATACCCCCCCCCCCCGAAAAAAAAGTTCCCTCTTAAGACAAATCTACCCCTCAAATTTCCCCTCCAAGCACAAATACCCCACCACCACCACAAATCCCCCCATCCCAGTAATCCCCCATCCTAGCACAAATCCCCCCCCCCAAAAAAAAAATTTCTCTCATAACCAAATGCCCCCAATCACCCCCCCCAAAAAAATCCCCTTTCTAGCTCAAATACCCCCCCAACATATTACCTTTTCTAGCACAAACCCTCCAAATTACCCTTCCCTTACAAATCCTTCCCCATCCCCCGAGGATATGTGTGCAATTATATGTTGCTTCTAGTAGGCCCAAGAAAAAGAGTGCCCTTTTTGATATATGTTTCTGCCTGAACACAGACACTAAGGACCCCATTCACACCTGTGCGTTTTGTGGCGCGGAGCTTGAAGCTCCGAAATGCTCAGGGAGAAAAAAAAATCAATATTACTCTATGGAGATGATTCACACCTCCACTCCAAGACCCCGGAAGCAGAACGCCTGAAGCTCAAAAAAAAGTTTTGAAGCATACCTTTTTTTGTAGCTCCTTTCAGGCAGATTCATGCGTTTTTGGCACAGTTTTATTCCCGTAGAAAATACATAGAAAAAGTTCAAACCGTGCGTCTTTCATACGCTTTTCCGCTTTTTTGTAGTGTGACAAGAGCATTTTTTTTGGCATGGCAAAACAGGCAACAATTGATGTCGCAGATTAAATTTTTCTCTATTGGCTAATACAAAAATGCAAGAACTCAAAAGCCTGAAAAGGTGTACCAACAAAAGGAAAACAAATCACACCAAATGTTTGGAAACGTGCATTAAAACGCATGACAAAACGCACAAAAAAACAATACTCGGATGTGAATAGAGCCTACGTGGTATATTTCTAAAACATTCATTGCACGAGATGTCAGAAGTATTTGTACAAACTGAAAGTGTTACCAAACCCACAGCAGTAAGATCAGTCTGTATATGCAGTAAAGTATGGTTGTTATACTCACTGTGGACCCCTAAGGGGTTAATCCTCTGCATTGTGTAAAAAGGCTGTTTGATCCTGTCTTTTTGTTCCTCCCCTTTTTAAGCGACCACCTCTTATCTCCTGATAAGACAAACTGAACCATAGGCATTTGCACATGCTCAGTTTGGTGTGTATTGAATTAGAGAGCTTTTTTTTTTTCTTGGGAGAGTGCTTGTGATCAGCACAGGGCCAATCAGCACTGTCTAGACAGAGGTCAGGGGGTTTTGCATCCTCCTAGAGCAGAATGAAAACTCCTCCTACAAGCTTTAGCTAGTGCTTTGCTGAACACTGATAAAAATCACCAGACTGCTATATTACTGCTGATGAGAAAAGGGTATTTAGCAGTTTTATATTTTACTAAATAATTGCACTTCCATGTTGTGTGTACTGTGGGAGACCAGATATAGTGAATGCAGAGTCCAGGGAGACCAGATATAGTGAATGCAGGGTCCTGGGAGACCCAGATATAGTGAATGCAGGGTCCGGGGAGACCAGATATAGTGAATGTAGGGTCCGGGGGAGACCAGATTATAGTGAATGCAGGGTCCTGGGAGAGCAGATATAGTGAATGTAGGGTCCTGGGGAGACCAGATATAGTGAATGCAGGGTCTGGGGAGACCAGATATAGTGTAATGCAGGGTCCTGGGAGACCAGATATAGTGAATGCAGGGTCCTGGGGAGACCAGATATAGTGAATGCAGGGTCCGGGGAGACCAGATATAGTGAATGTAGGGTTTCCGGGGAGACCAGATATAGTGAATGCAGGATCCGGGAGACCAGATATAGTGAATTCAGGGTCTGGGGAGACCAGATATAGTGAATGCAGGGTCAGGGGAGACCAGATATAGTGAATGCAGGGTCCTGGGAGACCAGATATAGTGAATGCCGGGTCGGGGATGAGACCAGATATAGTGAATGCAGGGTCCGGGGAGACCAGATATAGTGAATGCAGGGTCCGGGTCGACCAGATATAGTGAATGCCGGGTCAGGGGACACCAGATATAGTGAATGCAGGGTCGGGGGAGACCAGATATAGCAAATGCAGGGTCCGGGGAGACCAGATATAGCGAATGCAGGGTCCGGGGAGACCAGATATAGTGAATGCAGGGTCCTGGGAGACCAGATATAGTGAATGCGGGATCTGGGGAGACCAGATATAGTGAATGCCGGGTCCGGGGTTTAGGAATACATAAAGGTGAAGTCACTTATGTTTTATAAGTGACTCATTCCTGTTTCAGCAGCTCCATCTAGTGCCCAAAATTGGTATTGTTATGCAGTGTGAACTAAGCCTAAAGATGGCCATACCCTGTAGATCAGCCTTTGTCAAACTCTTCAACACAGAGGCACACTTAAAATAACTTTCTGGTCTCAGAGGACCCCTACTAAATGAACTATGTCTACACAACTCATGATACATTAGTCTGGTGGACACTGGGCAGAATGCTCCTTGTGTAGGTCATGTGGTCATTGGGAAGAATTCACCCCCTTACAGATAGCTAGAAAACCCAATGGGAACTTATCTGAGAGGCAGCAATTGCTCATTGCTCAAGGAACACACCAAGAATCCTCTGGAGGAACCCTAAAGCTCCATGGAACCCTGGTTGAGAAACCCTGCTTTAGATTTACCAAAACTACAAACAAACCTAAAACTACCCTAACCCCTAAAACTATGAACATTTTAATTTTATTTGATACACATTTGTGACATTCATTGACTTGGAAAACATTTGCTATCCTAATCCGTATTAATTAATGAAGTGTAGCACCGTCCTAGGTAGGTGCTAGGTATTAGATAGTTTGGGTTTTTTGATCGGTATATTTAGTTGCTCAGCAGTTGCTAGTCTGCCTATAGCTTCCTCTGTATCTGGAAAACCTGAGAAGTTTCTGGATGATAGGTGTGGAGCTATGCAGATGGCAGCATGGATATTGATACAGCCCCAACCTGTTCCAGAGAGCCAGGCTCTATGAAATGTTGGGTAACTATATATTCAGTGAGCACACGGAGCTCTGGGTCTTTCCTGTTAGAATTGTTCCAGCTTGGGAGAGGGCACATTGCCCTCCCAGGCAACTACTGCCATACGATGTCAGGGTGACCGGAGGCCTGAAGTCTGAGACTGGTTCTACTAAAGCTGACTGAGGTGCTGTCCACTGAAGACCTGGCCTGGTATCATGGAGGAAGACATGAAGACATCCTCTTGGGCCTTGTGAGTACAGACACCCCTAAAGGATCCTAGCGTCTGTGTGCTACTTAACCTCCAATGGTGCTAGGGAGTCAACTGTAGGTCTAGGCTAAATGGGGGACACTGCACTTCTCAATTTCAGTTCTCAAACAAGAGAAATATGCATTTCTGCCACTAGGGGGTGACAGATATGCATTTCTGCCCCATGGTGACACTGTACTACTTGTGGGGGTGATGAAGATTTTTTTTTTTTTTTACACTGATTGCTATTACACCCATAAAGACTGTAAAAGCAATCATTTCTCCTTCTCTTTTGGCTGCATTCTTGCAGCCATTGAGAACTACTGTGTGAGCTGTGATTGGTCATAGCTTGTCACATGGTACAGGCTGTTGTGAATAGCCTTTGTACCATGTGACCTCTGTGATCAGAATGCACAGATTTCACACGTAGTAAGCAATGATGTCAGAAGTGACATCTTGCTTACTACTCTAAGGCATGTGATCACTGATTGGCACCCCTAGACTAGGTAAATGAAGACCCGTACATCAGTTACTTGGGTGAATGAGCCTGTGTGCCTGGCTGGCGGGGTCAATAATTGGGAAGACCTGGACAGTAAATTCCTATGACTCTTATGGAAGTAGCTCCACAGAAGTTCCATGAATTTGTGAATTTGCCCATTTTTTTTTTTTTTTTCAACCAAACCTCTAAATGAAACCTATAAAAAGCGTATAAGGAGGTGACAGACCTGGTCAATGCGCTCTAGGATAGAGTAATGTTTTAAGGCTTTGT